CTATGTCCAAGCATTTTCATTCACTGCCCAGGCCAGTTTTGGGTTGAAAGCCAAGGGCTTTATAAGTACAGACTTTTACATCTGTACATATGAGAACGTACTAGGAAGGTGACTATTCCACCTCCCATCTAGTGGGCATGAAAGTGTTTGTGAGTGTTCCTTCCCACTTCATATTCCTAGAGCCTGGGACAAGCAGCAAGTAAAGAATTTGCAAATACATTTCACACTAATTGAATCACTGATCAGCACTAATGCTACAGACTTGACACCCTCTCACACTTGGTATGTTGAAATATTTTGTATATGGTCAATCTCTTCCACTTTTAAAAGCCCATCAGGACTCAATGATGATTTATTGTGAACATGGAAAGGAAAGTGGATCCAGATTCTTAAAAGTGCAATTATCAGTCACATGGGTAGGCTGTACGCATGAGAAAATGCAAAGCTTGGATGTGAATCTTAACCTCAGACCAAAAGAAAGTTCAATCATTGTGCAGGCACAGTCACTGCCCTGAAGCCAATGCCTTGTCTTATGTTATAATCATACTTTATCATAAAATATGTGGGGAGATACCTTACAGGAAGGATGCTAACAGACACAAGAATTACTTCATGCCGTATTTATGACCTGCACTTGGAATATTTATACTATTTTCAGGGATCTTATTCTTGACCAAGGTTGGTCAGATGTGACGCTGCCGGTTCCAATAGCACAAAGAGGTCGAGGGAGTTTTGCATTTGGTTGTTGGTTTGTGTTTTCTTTTTAAACCAAGGCCTTAGTGTAAAACCACCAATCACATAAGACTCGCTGAAATTCTTTGTCCTGCCCCTCCTTTTGTGGAAAAGCTGGACTAAACCCATTCAAGACTTAAAAAAGAGTTTCGTGTACCAAAATAAAGAGGATTTTCAGAAATTTAAGGTTTCCAGGGACTCCATTCACTTCAGCACTTCATGACTGAGGAACCAGACCTCTTCATCTAATGCCAACATCACAAGTTGTCAGTTGCTCGATTTTAGACATCTCAAAACAGTAACTTTAATGAACTCTGTCAGCTCCATTTACACCAAGCCTACATATAGCACAAACAGCAGCAACAGGAACTTCCCTGTATCCTCTGAACAATAAAACCCTCCTCCAGCATGCATGGAAAACGCCCAACTTCACCAATGCTGCCAAGGACATCTGTGGAAAAAGACCACTAGCAAAGGTTACTTCAGGACAGGAAGGGAGCACCCTGCCATGGTGCCCTGCTGCTGTTGGAGAAGGACTTAACACAAAAACACCTGGGATGTCATTACAGTTCTGACTGATGCTGAGAGCGCAGAAACACTCCCTTTCAGCTCAGTTCCCTTGCAACTGCACACCAAAAACTCCAACTTCTGCAGACAGCTCCTTTTTTTGTACACTCCTAGCCATAAGCACACACCTACTTGCTCTTTATTTATGGAGCTTTCTGCCACAACAGGGGCTCCAACAGTCATACTTCAGTTGATAGGCCTCTCTTTGATATGCAGAAGTAGCACCACATGCATCAGAAGCCAAGTGTTTCATGCCCTATCATCACAAGCTTCAAAGCCCAAATGAGGATGATGCTAGGATTAACAGACACAGAACACTCAGTTATAAGCAAAGTGTGCTGCTAATCTTTCTGCAGTAAGTTTCTTCCACACAGGGATGTACAGATACTTGTCCAAGTCTCTGTGTATTAAAAAAGCTAATCAAAAAGTAGAGCAGGCCTTGAAACCACCTTCATTTGTCTGGGTAATTGTCAGACACAAGCAGCCAGCTATGCAGTCATTGTCTAAAGAGGTTAGAGGTCACTCCTGGAACCATTTCCTCAAAGTCATCTCTTCCTCCATATGGATATAGAGGACACCCAAAGGTAAAGAGTTACAAGACTGTAATACAGAAGTGGGCATTAGTTTGGTGCAAAAACAGATAAAAGCTTTAAATGTGTTCTTTCCATGTTCTAACTAGGCCTAGAAATTGAATACAACCAAGGCCTTTGACTTGGTCCTTCCGCAGTCCAACGAGCTAGAAATCGGTTAAATACATATGGGACTTGCAGACAGACAGAATGTAGTAAAAACAGTTTGTTTTCCAACAGCACCTTTTTCCATTCCTCCTGGAAGCCACCTAAGCACATCAGCAACACTCTCCTGGTCATCATAAGGAGTAATTCTTATCCACAAGAATTCAGAGAGAACATGCAAGAAAAATAACACACTACTGATCGTCAGCACTAACCCCAGCATCCTATGGTCTGGTTATCTCCAATCTTGCAACTGGTTACTTAAAAGTTAACCACACACAAACTGTTTGCCTAGAGGGACCACCATCGAGCTGACATACACAACCTGCTGACGATATTGTCCTAGGAACACATATAAGGGATCAGAAATGCTGTGAAAGGACCACAAGTACCTATACACACCAGAACATAGCGATTATTATGTGAAATCCACTATCACCTGCTGTTGTATCCCATCTGCACTGAAAGTATCAATAAAGTCTTCTGTCACGCTCTGGGCTTTCCATGGATACGGTCTGAAAAGACGGTTGGTGCTGCAGGAAGTTTTACAAAAACGCAGCTGGGACCAGTGGTCTAAGTCAGACTAAAACAAGACACAAAAGCACAGAAGGCAATAAAGCCACAGATTGCTTCAAGTGCCAAGATACACCTTTGGAGTAGCCAACTTCAGCTCAAGTGTAAGACTGAGAAGGAAGGCCAGTTCAGACAGTAAGGAACCCTAATAATCAACTAACGCCGCACTAGTGTGTCACAGAGAATGGCATTTACTTTACAGAGAAACTGGTGTCTACAATATTCTTCCAATGCTTTCCAGAATCAGCATTTAAGCCTCTGAGGCACACATTACCAACCTCTGCCACTACTCTTAGTAGACATAAAACAATGTAAGACTCAGGCACAGCATTTGTTTGAGACAAATACCAGTCCACTCCTGTCCACGGTTTTTACAGGTGCCATCAGGCTATTAAAAAAACATGTATTTACTTGACACAATCCAATACCGTTATTATTTTATTTTATTCTAGCACACCTGCATTGACAACGCATTTTTCTTCCACAGCAGCAGAGCCCTATAGCCCATAGCAGGCACATACAATTCAAGAGCAGCCATGAACTAGACAGAGTTAAAAGATAAAAGGCAGCAAGTACATGTAAAAGCAAAGAAATTTCTCAGACTCCTACTGATCTCTGAACCCCATCATGTTTTTTTCCCCATCCTCAAGTCTACAACTTTGCATTCTTTTGCTAAAGTTATCAGATTTGGGTCAAAGAATGCAAGGTCCTGCTGTCATAATCAGTGCCACAAATTAACGTATTTCTTCAGACCTTGTTGATTGACATAAGGAATTTAAAAGCAAAAGCAAAGAGTCACTTCTCAGCCTCTCCCAAGGTAGCTCAGCAGTCAATAGAAGGGTACAATTTCTCCACTCCAGATGAGCAGTCAGTGAAAGCCTCACTCAGGATTCTTGACTACTTTGCAAAATGGTGATGTGCAAGTTTGCTCCATCACAAAACACCTTCTGCACACGTCTAGCTCTGGAGCCCTCAATACAAGAAGGACATGGACCTGTTGGAGCAGGTCCAGAGGAGGGTCATGAAAATGATCAGGGGGCTGGAGCACCTCCCCTGTCAAGACAGGCTGAGAGAGTTGGGGTTGTTCAGCCTGGAGAAGACTTCGGAGAGACCTTCTAGCAGCCTTCCAGCACCTCAGGGTGGCCTACAGGAAAGCTGGGGAGGGACTGTTTACAAGGGCATGCAGTGATAGGATGAGGGGCAATGGTTTTAAATTAGAAATGTGTAGATTTAGATTGAATATTAGGAAGAAGTTCTTTATTATAAGGGTGGTAAAGTGGAACAGTTTGCCCAGAGAGGTGGTGGAGGCCCCATCCCTGGAGACATTCAAGATCAGGCTTGATGGGGCTCTGGGCAACCTCATCTAGCTAAAGATGTCCCTGCTCACTGCAAGGGGGTTGGACTAGCTGACCTTTGTGGTCCCTTCCAGCCCAATGCATTCTATGATTCTAACACATCAAGGCTTGGCAAGACAGGCAGCAACTTTTATCTGCTGTAGAGAAGGCAGATACCCGTAAAGACCCTACCCTCCGAACGAAAACCCCAGTCAAAAGCTGCAAGAGCATCTCCTCAAAGAGGCTCCACATCTCACCCTGGTCACCCAAGACTCAGTGACTGTTCCTTTGCCTGTCAGGCACATATCATAAGCACGCACACAGCACCCAGCCTTGCCAGAAACGCTGCTGTGCCCAGCTTGCCTGAAGAGTCTCTGCAATAAAGAGGTACCAGCACAGCACTAAATAAAAGCAACGAGCTGCTAT